TCACAGATAATCATAAAACACACTTCAGACTTCACAGAAACCAAATAAAACTCACCAAAACTGTCTTTGTTAGTCTATCCAACAGTCATTAACTTTGGTATGGTCGAAATAAATCCTTAATACACTGAGTCAGATAAGAAAATAGCTGTTTAATGTTAATCCTGTCAACCATCAAAGTGCATCCATTAAAAGCACACAAAGCATCATCTCTTGTTTATCTGAGCACTCTCCTTAATTCCTACATCTCCTGCTAGCTGGGAGAAGACACATGTCCTGTACGGGCAGCTGCTTGACTGGCTCAGGTATCTGGTTGCCTGGCAACCCATCATCATCGGTATCGTTCACGGGATTAACTTCTCCCTGGGCCTGGAATAGAGCCCTGAGGAACGCCGCTGCAAGTACGTCCTGGGGTCGCGGGGGGGAAAATCAGCTCGACAAGGAACTGATTCAGGCTGCTTTTGAAGTCTTTTGTTTCCTCAGTACATGTTGTTGGACCGAACGCTTGCACAGTTTCCAGCAGAGCGATCCCAGGTGGTCTGGGTCTCTGTGTGCAGAGGACACTGTGATGCCAAAACTGCTGCCAACTTCAACAAAAACATTTGAAGCACAGTTTATGTCTAGTTCAGAAACTTCTGGAGGTGTTGCTGTCATGCATGTTTTTTTATTGTGATAAATCATTGCTTTACTTTGTACTGTATCATAAAAATGCCTTTTTAAACAATTGTATTGTTTGCACACTTCCTCACGGCTGGTTCTGTCTACAACCACTAACAAGAATTTATTTTAAAGGAGTTTTCTGCTGCAGAAGAAATTGATTAGTTAAAGTACAGTTCTGTCCGAATAGTGTTACATAACCTGTTTACATTTCTTGCAACTTTGTTTATTACATTCGTTTTATTTGGGATGTCTGTTCTATTGTTATTTGTATGAATCTAAAGTTGATGGTAATGTAGCAGTCACTGTTACTGTCACTGCAGCTGAAACTTACTATCAGGAATTGAATGTATCACATTATAAAACAGGAGAGAATGAGGAAGTGGATAATCTTGCCTACGTTCCTAATAACTATGGTAACCACCAACATTTATTAACAGGAGTTTCATTCAAGTGGTTGAAGAGTGAC